TATATAATAAAGAGCTAATATGCAAATGTTTGTCACACCCTCATGCTGTCACAAGGTAATGGATCAGACACTCAACACTGGGGAGAGAGGAATGGGGACCAGCCAGGCTGCAGCCCAGGAGGGGGACAAGCTGCCTGTCCTGTGGTCCCAGGCACCTGCAGCTGCAACCAGCCAGGGGGATGCCAGCCGGGATCCTGGTGCCTGCAGTCAGCCAGAGAGAGGGAAGTCAGGGTGCTGGTGCCTGTGACCAGCCAGAGGAGGGAATACTGGGTCCCAGGTGTGGGGCAAGGCAGAGGACGTTAGGGGCGATCAGGCCAGTAGGAGAGCAGTTAGTGGTAATCAGGCAGTCAAAGGTCGTTAAGGGCAAATAGGCAGGCAGAGGTAGTTAGGGGCAATCAGTAAGGCAAGAAGGCATGCAGTTAGGAGCCAGCGGTCACAGATTGCAAGAGGCAGTCGAACATCCCCCAGGGGTCCCAGAATGGAGAGGGTGCAGGCCCGGCTGAGGGACCCCCACCCATTGCACGGATTTTATGCACCGGGTCTCTAATAAATACATAAATGAAAATACTGCTGGTTTGATTCACAGTATGGGCATATATGGAAGGCAACTGATCAATATGTCTCTCTCACATCAATGTTTCTCTCTGTCCTTTCTGTCTCCTTTTCTTTCCATCTAAAAATCAATGAATATATCCTCAGGTGAGGATAAAGAAAACAGTCTCTATATCTGTGCATAAGTGTACATCTACAAATAAATCAACGTCTTTATATCTATATCTATACATATATATAATTATATATATATATATATATATATATATATATATATATATATAATCTATATCTAGAGCTACCTCTAGAGCTATATCTATATCTATGTCTATCTCTATATCTATATCTACCTATATCCATGGGAGCAGAGGCACATTGATTTTATCCCTAAGGAGTCACTGAAGGTTCCCACATCCTACTTCCTGACCACCTCCTGCAGCATAGCCCCTGGTGTGGAAGGAGAGGACCCTGGGCACGGTGACCAGGACCCCAAGGAGGGGCCTCGTTCTCTGAGGGCACAGTCAGCACCTCCTTCCAGGAGAAGCCCCAGAGACCAGAACCTCCCTCATCTCTTGCCCTTTGTATGTGCAGACACCTCCCATATGCAAATGACCACATGGCCACCACACACACACACAGTTGGCATCCACTTAAATGCAGGGCCTCCTCACCCTGGAGAATACTTTCTGGGGGACGAGGACCTCACCTGCAAGACATGACTCCCGTGTGGCTCTTCCTCTTCCTGCTGTCAGCTCCCAGATGTGAGTGACTCAGGGCTTAGACGTGAGGAGATGGGGACCCTGCATCTGAGCCCAGGACTCACTGTGTTCTCTCTGTCCCAGGTGTCCTGTCCCAGTTGCAGCTGCAGGAGTCGGGCCCAGGACTGGTGAAGCCCTCGCAGACCCTCTCCCTCACCTGCACTGTGTCCGGGGGCTCAGTGACCAGCAGTGACTACTGGAGTTGGATCCGCCAGCCCCCAGGGAAAGGGTTGCAGTGGATGGGGTACTGGACAGGGAGCACAAGGTACAACCCAGCCTTCCAGGGCCGCATCTCCATCACTGCTGACACGGCCAGGAACCAGTTCTCCCTGCAGCTGAGCTCCGTGATTACCGAGGACACGGCCATGTATTACTGTGCAAGACACAGTGAGGGGAAGTCAGTGTGAGCCCAGACACAAACCTCCCTGAGGAGACAGCAGGGCTGGGCTGCAGGGGGCACTCAGGACACCAGGGGGCGCTCAGGACCCACAGCACAGAGAACAGCCCCAGGAGCAGGGGCAGAGGGAAGTGGGAGGGAAGGGCCTTCCTGTTGGGCTCAGGGATTTCCTCTCAAGCTCTCAGCTGCCCCCAGGGACGGTTCTTCCTTGTCATGTTCTCCCTGCAGACAACAGTGAAGAAGGGACATTGTGTTTGCAGGTGACATGTTGGCAGTGACAAGGACTCGCCTTCACGAAGTCTCCTTCACAAATTCTAAAAGTGGCTTTTTTCGCTGTCTTTTCAATGTTTCGCTGATAAGTGTGAACTCCATGGGTGGGTTGCTGGGATTGGGCTGTGTGCACAGCTCTGCCTCCCTCCCTGGGGGTCACAGCTCCCAGTGTCTGACTCTCCCTGTGCCCTCCCCGTCCTGGTTCCAGGGAGATCACAGGCCCTCCCTCTGCTGAAAGGCCTGAGCTCACTCAGGGCTGGTGGACCTCACCCATCCTCTCTGGGTCCACATTGACCCCCAGAGGAGCTGTCAGCTCAGTGCACCAAACACAGGAGCCCCACATCCACCCAGAGGAGGGGAACCTGCTGTCCATCAGTTAGCAGTGCTAACCCCACAGCAGGGAAAGGTGACGCTGAGGGCTGGGATGTGCATCACCAAACTCCTCCTCCACCTTTTCTCCTGGAGCCAAGGTTTTCTAGCTTCACTCTGGGTGAGATGTGCATCGGGAGCATGTTGGAAGCCGAGGAGCATCCATGGGACCCCCGGCGTCCATACCGTCCTCTGATGACTTGCCCAGGAAACACAGAGTCACACAGACACATAGCCACACACACACACACACACACACACACACACACAAACAAACAACGCAGTCTCACACACAGAGTCACACACACACAGTCACACACAGAAACAGTCACATACACAGTCACATACAGTCACAAACAATAAGACACACAGAGTTACAAACACAGTCACACGCACACACACACACAGTCATACACTCATTTCTGGAAAAGATATGCATTCACACATGAGCGGTAATACAAAAGCATTCATGTCTTTATGCACTGTACTTTATGAATTCTATATTAGAAAATGGGGTTATCCCTAACCAACTTGGCTCAGTGTATAAAGCATTGGCCTCCAAAATGAATGGTCCTGGGTTTGATTCCTGTCGAGGGCACATACCCCAGTGGGTGATGTGCAGGAGGCAGCCGACCAATGATTCTCTCTCATCATTGATGTTACTATCTCTCACTCCCTCTCCCTCTATGAAATCAATAAACAAATATTTCTTTTTAATTGTTTGAAAATAAAAAATGGGGTTATATTTCATTCTCTTGGATGGCATATGAAATACATATGTGGTCTGCAAGCAACTATCATTTCAACACTGGCCACACCAGTGAAGATCAACAGTTGCATTTCTCAGTCCACTTAGTAGGAGCTCAAATTAGGAATTTGATCCCAACTTTGCTAGATTGCTACAAATTTTAAAATATAATTAATTTAATACTGAAAACCTTCCAC